AAAATAAAATAAAATAACATAAAACAAAACAATTTTATGCATAAGTTAATCAATTTTTATATATAAATTTAAACAAGAAAATTTTATAAATTAATTTACACGTAAATTAAATTTTAATTTATACAACACAAGTTTTTTTTTATATAATTTTTATTTGATATAAATATTTGTTAAAAAGTTAATTCAAATAATACATTATCCGTTCAAACAATGTGTATAAGGGATTAGGATAAGGTTGTTAAAGTCATTTCAGTATTGCATGTTATCAGCAAGCATGGTCCCATGGTATGTACGATGTACACGCACACACAGAAATACTTTCCTAATTTTTAATGTAGTTGTGATGAGGTGGTGGAACTTGTAAGGGAAGGGAACAAATTAATTAAGATAAAAGACTCGATTCTGTTGTGTTGTGTTGTGTTCTAGGGAATGATAAAATGGGAAATGTTGAGTTGAAGTGAAGGTTTTTTTTTTCTGAAGTGCACATGTTGGGAGACCCACGAGCCTTGTCTTATGCTTATACACCACATGTGATCATAGATGCCCTTATCGTATGCATCACAGAAAATGAAACTGGACGCTTCCAAAATATGGATCATCATCATACGTGAACTCGTGTAGTGTCAAGGGAAGAGATATGAATTAATCAAAGAAGAAGAAGAAAAAAAAACAGGTATAGTTTTTAGTATTCTACGTCGCGAGTTGATTCATAGCTGTCTGGTAAGAAGAAAAAAGAAAGGATTATTAGTGATTAGAATTCAAAGTAGTATGATTAAGAAATGTAAGTGCAATATTGGAAACTGTTGTTGATAAAACGTTTTGGTGAGAGAGTGTGTTTTTTTCCTCACAGTTTGCATTTTGTTTCTACCCCCATGTGTAATAGGAGTCCCCAATCCCCATCTTTGATGGATTCGTTGAAAAGGACTTGCATTCATTCATTTGCTATGAATGGGGACAAAAGGGGTTGTCAGTGTGATAAAAGTCACTGGACTTTTTGATGCCAGTTAAGGACACATAATCACCCCAAATCATCTCACTTTTTTTCTACACATTTACCCCTTTTAGGGATTTTCACGATCACTGTTCATTCAATTTGTTGAAGAATCATTCACTGAATAAAAGTTAAATAGTTAAATGCAATCCCTAGCTAGGACCTACGCAGATTTTTATCCTTTTTTAATGTTTGGTCCATGCTTAGAGAGATGTGATAATTAATCCATCCATCATGGGAGAGGTGGGCTCTGAATTTCATTATTTTAATTTGAAAGAATCACGGAGAGAGTAGTAATGTCTTTATTTTTAGGGTTTATCATTTGGCCTTATTCTCCACTTCCAAACTCCTTTTGAGTGCCTATCAAATCCCAATTACCCTCATTCATTAGCTAGGAAAAGATCAAACAAAGATATTGTAATGAGTGGAATTATCAAACCCAGCCAATCTAAGTTGATGGCAGCCTTTTCTTTCACTCACAATAATCTTATCTGACATTTTAATATAAAAAATAAAAACTTAGTTCAATCCAATTATTATAGGAACCGTATTTCTTTTCTAGCCCAACCTAATATGTTTCTTTATATTAGATTGAGTCACTTTATTTTTATTAATAATTTTATATATAATTTAAAAGAAAAAACTTTGAACAAAATAAACTTGATAATTTTTTAGTCTAATTTTTACTGACCCATTCTGGTCTGTTTGACACATCTAAGTCAAGTTAAATTGGTTCAATGTTTTCATTCTAAATATAAAAAAGTCTAGTTTATTTAACCGAAAGGGCCAATTGACTAACTTGACATGCTCAACTAATTTTAATACCTCTAATAACAAGTGCTTCTATCAAGTATCATTACTATATATGTAGCTAAATATCAAAATACAAGATAAAATTTAGTTGATTTTTTAGAAAACAACTATTTTAAAGTTTTTTTTTATGATAAAGTAGTTATTTTTCTAAAATGAACTATCCAAATACACATATTTAAATATACAATTACATTAAATATTAAAAGAAAACTCCATTCTTTGTAATAATTTTAAATACACATTATTTTTTCCCTTTTATTAATTGAATGCTAAAATTTAAGGAAGTCCTACATCTGGCATTCTACACAGTGATGGGAATGAATTTATTTATCCCCGGAGACATTGATTTCGGATAGTGAGAGGTGTTTACAGAAGACCCTGTAATGAAACTTGGTGTAAGCCCAATCATTCATTTGGGTCAGGGTCAAACAAATTTCAGGCCAATAAACGCATAATTTCCAACCATTTCATGTCAAGTGAGGGAAACATGTCTTTTATAATGGGCCTGTTGGCCCATTTGTTAGATAGAGTCTCGTAGCGTTTTGCACATGATTGTGGCTCAAGGTCTAAAATTTGTTGTGATTGAAAATTGATCAGAGGTATGACACATGCAATGGCAAATAGATCAATTTGAGAAACCAAAACTAAAATAGGCAACGTTACATAGTGATTCTCTGTTTTAGTGTTGATAATAACATGCTTCACTACTTAAAAAAAAGAAAAAAAACTTGCTTGACTACAATTGTGGTATGCATTAGATTATACTCAGCCATAAATTCATGACTATGAGTTTTATATTTCTTCGAAGTAGTTGGTTAAAACTTAAAGTGGTGGTAACCTTATTTGGGTTTATAAATAAAATTTGTCATAGTTGAAAGGAATTATGCTAATATAGGAATCACTTCAACAGTGTGTTACAAAAAATGAACTATCTCGTTAATAATAGAATGGAGAAAGGATTTGTAAGAGGTTTAGGAATGTGAAGATAAAAAACTTGGCAAGAGAAGTATCTTTTTTTTCTTTAGGAAGGTAATAACACTATCAATCTATCATTCCAATGCATAGTTATACATTTGCACATGTCTAATTAGTGGCTTTGCATTATAACAAATTAAAACAAATGTTTAAATGTAACACGTTATACAATTTGTCCAAACCAAACTAGCTCTCTCACAGTTTGTTTTTTTCTCAAATGATTAGTCTCCCAACTTTTTTTTTCCCTTTCTAGGTCTTAGGGTGATGATAAACACACCTCCGTTTTCATATAAACACACTCCCTTTATATATATATAAAATTCCTAAATTTGTACCCGCACCCCTCTTCTTTTTCTTCACCGCACCTCTTTTCTTCTTTATTTTTCCCGCACCCCGCACCCCTTTTCTTTCTCTTCCCCGCACCCCTTTTCTTTCTTTATTTTTCCCGCACCCCGCACCCCGCACTCCTGTTCTTTCTCTTCCGCGCACCCCTCTTCTTCTTTCTTTTTCCTCGCACCTCCCTTCTTCTTTCTCTTCCACCCCTTTCTTCTTCTCTTCTTCGTCACTTTCTTCTCTGATCTCTCTACCTCCTCTTCTACCCTTTTTAGTTTTTGTAATATCTTCTTCCTTTTCTGTTTTGTTATAAGTTGTAAGCTCGCGGTTTAGTGTCAAAGGAAAAGGTGTGAGACCATATGCATTTTTTCGCCAAGTAATTCTTTTCACTATCTCCACCTTTTTCTATATTCTTTTGTTCTTATTGTTTCTAGTTTATTATCGTTCATTGTTTCTCTGTTTTGTTAACATCTCTCTCTCATCTCTACATTTCTTTCTTTCTGGAATAGTAAAGTTTTTGTTCTGAAAATTACTTTTTGGAATAATAAAGTTTTTATTCCAGAAAATACTTTCCATAATAGTAAATTCTTATTCCGGAAAGTATTTTTTGGAAATGTTTTTTTTACATAATTTTGGAAAGTACTTTTCAAAATACTAAAGTTACTGTTCTGGAAAGTTCTTTTCGGAATTATATAAGAAACACACTTCCAAAAAATACTTTCTGGAACAATAATTTTACTATTCCGGAAAGTACTTTCCGGAATACTAAAATTAAATTTCGAATCTTATTTTTTGGTATGACAAATTTAATTTATGTGTTTCTTTATCTCCTCATCCACCACTGTCGTCTATAATCCTGTTGTCCATAAATAATGTTAAATAAGTTTAAAAAAATTATAAATATAAAATATAATTTAATATATTAATTTGTACCTTGTATTGAATGTAGATAATAATGAAGATTGAATGAAAAATTAGGGTTTAAGAAAGAATAAAGTAGAAAGTGAAAAATAGAATTTAAAATATAGAAAGATAAAATATGATTATGTTGATTGTAAAAGAAGAAAAATCAATAATGAAAAACGAAAAAGAATAAAATCATCAAAAAAATGACTAGAGTGATGAAAAAGGAGAATGAGAAAAAAAAATAATAAAAGAAAGGGGTGGATAAAAAAAATTAAAAAATAAAACTTAAAATAAAAATTTAGTTAAAATAATATTTTAGAAATTTTATTTTAAAAAAAGAAATTGAAAGTGTACTTATAAAAGATAGGAAGTATATATATCATCAGCCATTTATTTTCCTTCTTGGGTCCAAAATGGATCATGAGTGGGCCGCAAGTGAAATGAAAGGAAATAAAAACTGAGAAATGGAGCAGGCCTGGTCAAAAGAAAGCTACTGTGTGGTACGATGAATACTTGGGCCATCCATTTACCTTTTTCAGATGCCATTCTTCCTTCAGACTTCAGAGGCGTGTGTGTTTATATTTTTACGATCAATAAAAGAGCAACCAACTTTGGAAATGAATGGCTATGATTTGGTTATGGGTGACATGTAACTTTCTTGGTTTTAAAAAGGTAATGTCTGGGACGCCTTCACCTTGGATCCGGATTAGAATCATTAGAATTTAGATAAACATCAAATAATCTTTCTATTTAAAAAGAAAAAACAAATAAGATATTTATGGCAATTTTTAATCATTAAAATGTAGGTGAATTATAAATATTTAAACCATTTTTTTATTAATAAATTTTTAAATTGGTAGGCGAATTATAAACACTTATTTTGACACTTTCCCTATATATAAAAAAAAAGTACAACGGAAATAACAATAAATTTGTGAGAATGAATCTAATTATGATTGACAAGAAGGTAACAAAAAAAAGGTAGTGAATTTTGCACCGGAAGAGAAGAAAATGAAAATGAAAATGGATATAAAATTTACAGCTCAATCTTCCCTTCCTCACAGCACAGATGACACATCCACCATTCCATTTCCTTTCCTCTTCCTCTGGGCAAAAACAAACTACCATTCTTCTCCTTTTCTCTGTCTTCTCACTTTCTCTCCCCTCCCATAAAAGGAACAATGAAAGATTGAGCAGTACAAACAACAGCACATCCAATCATTTCCCTTCTCACACTATCATCTCCTCATTAGCACCCCACAAGCAAATTCTTTTTCTCCTTCAACACATTTGCCTTGCGCCGCTCAAATTTTCAATTTTTCGCTTTCCAGAAAGCAATTGGGACAAATTTCGTTGCTTTTGAGCATCTGGGTCGGTGGGGGGTCGCCGGATACACATGCCGCCGGCTCTGATGGATCCGCCTTTGCCGGAATTGTCGTCGGTGCCGTCTTTAAGCTCCGGCGCCGTTTCTCCGGGATCGGCGCCGGAGAGTCGGCCATTTGGGGATCTTAGAGGTTTGCAGTGGCGAATAAATCTTGGGGTGTTGCCATCTTCTTCTTCTTCTACTTCTTCTTCTTCTTCTTCTTCTTCTTCTTCTTCTTCTTCTTCTTCTTCTTCTTCTTCTTCCATTGATGATCTTCGTCGTGCCACGGCTAATTCTAGAAGGAGGTAAGGCCAGCTCAATAATCACACCTTATTATTTTCAATTTCATTGCTTTTTTTGGGGGGTTTTATTTCAATTTGTGGTCATTGTATAATTGTATTCCTCAAATTTGGTGCCTTATTCAGAGTTTTGTTGATAGACACAGATAGGTGTTAGAGCCAAAGCCACCTTGTTTGTTGCTTTCTAACCATCTCTCTAGTCTCTGCCGTTATTCTTTCCTTTTACAATTAGAATGTTGCATTGCATTCATTGAAATATACTATACGTCTGTACCAAATTTTAGATTACTTCCTTGGTCTTTATGATGAACTTAACGATATAACATAACTGTTTTTGTTTGTATGCAACTTTTTCCCTCAACTCTCAATAATAACAAGGGAAGCACACCTTGCAATTTTATTTTATTTTTAAATAATGGGGGATAAATTATACAGAAAATACAGGAATTTTTTGACAATTTCATTTTTTTTATCGATAAAAATTGAACTCGGTACAAGTGGTTTATAATAACTCAGTATTCTTGCCCAACCAATTGAGTTAGACCCCTTACTACCATGCTCATGGCAATTTTCATTCGGGAATGCTTACATATGAGTTTTGGGGATGAATTCTTCAAGTCAAAATGGATACTATCTTCTTTTTGTTCCCTATTTTAGACCAATATCATCGTATATCAAAGTATTGTTTCGTTGGCTAAACTGAAAAGAAAATTAAGCTGTTTCTTCGTTTGGCATTGAGGGTTATTTGCACGTCATCTGTAGTGTTGCCAGGACTGAGTTGTTAAATCCACGTGTTTCTTGATGTCTGTCATTGTAGTGCATTAAAAACAATTGCATATTTGTTCAGCCAATTACAATTTTTTGAGGGGCTGTATCTTATTTAACACGAACTGTTTATAATATTGTCAGGTATGCCAGTTTGAGAGGGCGCCTCCTGGTTGATCCTCATATTACAAAGGATGGAAGTAGTTCACCCAATCTTGTCATGGATAACCCACTTTCACAAAATCCAGGTAAATCTAAGCATATTTTCTTGCGCCTATTCCTTGCACAGTACATGTAGATATTAAGTCTATATATGGTTAAAGATCCCTGATTTAGCCAATATACTTTCATAAATTCTTTTTAAGTGACTAGAGAGCAAGTTAGATATTTTGAATGCTCCGTTCTCATTTAGTGGCAACCAAACGCATGAAAAGGTTAAGCAAAGAAATATTGGCAATCAAAAACTGTTGAGGTGAAAATGAAGCAGATAAGAAAGACAAGCAAGTAAATTGTTGCATATTTTGTCATAATGTTGCCTCAAAACCTTGAAATGCATATTACTGATATTAGTAGATATCTTGGTAGTCTATCTAATTCTGTCTCATTCCATTGAACTCTATCTGTGTTGACAATAATATCAATTGGCCTCTACATGCAGACAGTACATGGAGTCGCTTTTTTCGCAATGCAGAGATGGAGAGGATGGTTGATCAGGATTTATCGCGTCTATACCCAGAACATGGCAACTACTTCCAGACTCCAGGATGCCAAGGCATATTGAGACGAATTTTATTACTATGGTGTCTCAGACACCCAGAGTGTGGTTATAGACAAGGTACATTGCTCAATTTGCTCTCAAGCAACATTTGCAGCCAATATGTTGAATATAAGATAATTTACCTTTGTCTAAAATATGTTTTCTCATATTGGGATGGTTGTCTTATTTTTCCTTCCAACTCCTTGTAAGAAACTTTGGTTACGATACACTCATCTTTAAGGTGTGTTTGGCAGAAGGAAAATTTTTTAATACACATAATTCTTTAGGAATAACTAGAATATGTTTGATTAGTCATAAATATTTTTGGAAATATTTATATATATTTCTTAGGAATCAAATTTTTTTACGTTTAGCTATAATAAAACTTTACCAAAAACTTTGATTATTTACCGCGTTAAATGAATAATGAAGGTAATATGATATTTTTACAAATATAGTCATATATGTGATGCAAATAGTTGATCTGATACTATTGGGCTTCTTTCATCAAATATTTTGTAGGAATGCATGAATTACTTGCTCCGGTGCTTTATGTTCTCCAATGTGATGTGGAGTGTCTTTCAGAAGTTCGAAAGCTTTATGAAGATCACTTCACAGACAGATTTGATGACCTCATTTGTCAAGAGAATGATCTTTCTTACAGCTTTGATTTTAAAAAATCAGACTTGATGAAGGACGAAATTGACTCCAATGGAAAGTCAATGAAAATCAAGAGTCTTGATGAGCTTGATCCTAAGATACAGAAGATTGTATTGCTAAGTGACGCATATGGGGCTGAAGGTGAATTGGGCATTGTTTTATCTGAGAAATTCGTCGAACATGATGCTTACTGTATGTTTGATGCTCTAATGAATGGGTCTCGTGGGTCAATTGCAATGGCTGATTTCTTCTCCTATTCCCCTGTGCCTGGGTCCCATACTGGCTTGCCTCCTGTAATTGAAGCTTCTGCTGCATTGTATCATTTGTTGTCTCATGTGGATTCATCTCTGCATGGCCATCTCGTTGATCTTGGGGTTGAACCCCAGTACTTTGCTCTCCGCTGGTTGCGAGTTTTATTTGGACGGGAATTTTCACTCAGCAACCTCTTGATAATCTGGGATGAAATATTTTCATCAGATAACAGTAAAGTGGAAAAACACGCTGACGACAATGCAGACTCTGGTTTTAGGATCTTTCATTCGTCTCGTGGAGCATTTATCACAGCTATGGCTGTAGCAATGATGCTTCATTTAAGATCTTCACTACTTGCAGCTGAAAATCCTACAACTTGTCTCCAGAGATTATTAAACTTCCCTGAGGACACTGACATTGGAAAACTAATAAGGAAGGCTAAATCCTTGCAGGCTCTTGCATTAAGTACTGAGATTTCATCCACAATGCCTTCACTTGTTGAGTATCATAACCAGGGTAAAACAGTTTTGCAAAGATCTCGGACCCTCTCATCTGAATCAAGTTCACCAAAAACTCCTCTGAATTTAGTACCTGATAGCTACTGGGAAGAAAAGTGGAGGGTTCTCCACAAGGCTGAAGAACTCAAGCAAGATGGAGTAGAAAAACAGGTGCCAACTCGGAAGAAGGGATGGACAGATAAGGTAAAGTTTAGTTTGAAAAGAACAGCATCTGACCCCTCTTCATCAAAGATTAAAAGTGGTAAAAAGGAATCCATAGCATCGGGTAGGCGCAGTTTGTTAGAAGATCTCTCTAAGGAACTTGGCTTAGAGGAAGATAATGAAAAACCGCACTGTCGTGATAATATGTCTGCAATAGTTGAAGAGGAGCAACTGTGTGATAACTCCGAATGCAGCAACAAGTATTCTCCCGAAGATAGATGTAGCAGTGAGGACAACTCATCTGTTATTTCTTGCCCATCTAGTCCTCCTAATGAGGCCCATGATCAAAAAATTGACTCCGAGATAAGTAATGATGGGTCTAACTTATCCCTTGATGGAATTGATGAATGTGCATTTAGTAGTCCTATGGGTTCACTTCTTCCAATCTCTGATGATCCTGAGAATGTATCTCAGACACCAAGGAGCAATGATATTAATAATTCTGCAGGAAATTCAACCACACACTCGAATGAGAGAAAATTGAACAAATTTCAGTGGCTACGGAGGTTCGGGTGGAGTAATGACGAGTGTATGTCAGAGAAAGGAAGCAATGCTTCTGAGGCTGTAAAACCTGACAGTGATTGTAATAATCAAGGTAACACAATACCCTGTTCTACAGTCAATGGACATTGTAGTTCTGTTAGTTGCGACGGGGAATCTGCAGACCAAAATGTGATGAGCACAGTGAGGAATATTGGGCAAGCAATGCTTGAGCATATCCAGGTAAACTTCTTTCTAATTGTCACTCTCAAATTGAATGATGAGTTAGTGAGTGAACTGAAGTTATAATCTGATGATTGAAGAAAACACTGTTTTATTTACATGAAATGTTTCAAACATGTTATCATAAGAACTTGTTTTTGTGTGGCAGGTGATTGAGTGTGCTCTCCAACAAAACCAGGGCCAGGGAGCATCATTGGATAACATTGAAAGGCAGGTTACTGCCATGTCAGCTCTCAAGGAGCTCCGCAAAATAAGCAGTCTTTTGTCTGAGATGTGAGCCGAATCTTACATTGACCTGTCTTGTATATATATTGTAATTACAATTCTTTAGTGTCAAGTTGGGAAGGAGCGGATTCATATCTTACAAGGACGTAAGTTCAATTTTCATTATCTTTATGAAGATCTTGCTGATGAATAATATGTAAGTATTACTATAAGCCATCTTTGAGTCTTGAGACTTGTCCTATCTTCGATGAGTATTTGGAATTCAAGTCACCTAAGCTTTTAGTTAAAAGAAAAAAAAAAGTTTCTTCTGCTTCAATTCTATTATACCTCTTGAGTACCATAGTTTTGTAGATATGAATGTGTAAATAATAATATTCAAGTTACCATAAAATAAATTATGATGATTCATTCTTGTTTATGATTTCGATTTTACTTGACTACATTGTCTACCTTGCTTTGCATTTTAAAACAGCTTTGCAGAAGCAGTCCCAGACTATATTGAATTCAGTTATTCAAGTTTAGATGTCAATTTTATATTTTTTATTTCCCTATTCCATCACCCTATGCATTTCTAGTTATACAACGGAAATTTGAATGTAAAAAACGAATAAAGCATGTTTGATAATGGCAAGATTTATTAGGGGTATTCACTGTTCACGGCTCCATTTGCTTCGAATTTCTAAATTCAAACCAAGCCAATCTTTGCATTGTATATGTTCAAATTTATTACATTTGGTTTGAATTTGTTAAATTTTTTTTAACAATTTGATTAAACCAATCTAATCATATTAGTTTTAGAGTTTAGGATTTAGGTTAATTGGACTCTTATATACAAAAAGCAAAAAATTGTTTTTTGAAACAAAAAAATAAATTAAATTGTATTTTTGTTTCTCAATTTTTGTGATGCACAATTTTGATTTTTTTATTATTATTTTAAAGTAGAGATATATAACCAAACCTTTTAACCAAATGGTTGTAAGGTTTGTCTTATGACATGGGAGTTTGATTTAATACTTTCAGATTTAATTTTTGTTTGTATTAAATAATGTTTAGTCTAAAAAAAATCATGTCTTACAAACACAAATTAAACATTGGTTTGCATGGGCCATAAAAAAAATAGAAACATTTAATTTGTCTAATTTCAAAAATGCAAAATTTTGGTTTTCTTATTTAGTTGACATCTAATAATAGTTAAATTTTAATGTTTACTTATATTTAAGTGATGAAACACTTAGTAACATAACATTTAAAGATAAAAAAAATATTTAAATAAAATTTCTTAATAAAATAAATATCAATTACTTATTAGGATAAATATAAACGGAGGTATTTTATGTTATTTTTAATTTTTATTATTAAATGTCATATCAATGTTAAAATTTAATCAACAACAAATATCAATTTGATAATTAAACTAAAGTTTTTTATTTTAAAAATAGGAAATTAAATGTCTCTATTTTAAAATAGAGGACCATAATTGTAAATTAATAAAAATAAAGAGACTAAAAATATAATTTAATAAAAAAATAAAATAAAAAATACATAACTTTGTCTCAAATGTAAATTTAAATTTGTCATTAGAATGATGTACACTGTAGTTGGTTTGCACTAACTAAAAGAACAGCGTAAATCACACACAAAAAAGTATATCATAACACGCTATTTACAAAATAGCAAAAAAAAATGATTATATCATAACACGCTATTTACAAAATAGCAAGAAAACTCATAAGAGTAGTGGTTTGGATTTTGAGACATTGGGTTTATAAAGCCTAAACTTGATACATGAGATATTGAAGATTGAATTTGAGTCAGATCCGATAAAATATAATTGAAATCATTTAATTGATTTAGTTTGGATTTATTTGATGTATTGAATTCATTAGAACTAATCGATATCCTTAAAAAAAATTGAGTTAATCACTTATATACTGTCAATGTAAAGTATTTTTACACTTATAATTAATTAAATTTTTTAATTGTGTCATGTCACTGTTAAAAATAAATGTGTTTATAGTGACATGACACAATTAAAAGATTTAATTGGTTGTCAATGTAAAATTTTTTTACACTTAACTAAAAAAAAATTCACGTTTGGTAAACACATTCTTATTTTTAAGTTAAATTTTCCTCTTATTTTAGAAAGAAAATCTCAATAATTAAAATTAACCTTGTTTTACGTTATAAGAGTGTAACTTCACCTATCCGTTGGACCATTTAGGGTTATAATATCTTTAATTGCGATAAAAGTTGGAAATTAAATTTATTTTTAATTAAAAATATAAATATTCAATCACTTATACTAATATTGTCATGATTTAATAAACAAATTCAACCTTATATTATATTATAAGTTTGGATTAAATGGTTATACACAGTCGATTCATCATAAATAATTTTTTATTTAAATATATTTTTAATCTTTAAAATATTTAATTTCTCAAATTTAAAACTAATTGTTTTGTTTCTTGTAATTTCAAAAGTTCTTATTTTAGTTATTATATTCAAATTTTGCTAAAAAATTTATTAAATATTATTACATAAAATCTATTTAAATCTTAAATCATAAAATATATATATCTTATTAAATTCAGCTAGCATAACTATTTAAATTTGTCACTTTTACATGTTATTGATGATTTGATGATTAAAACAAAATTTTTATAAACTAAAAGGACTAAAAATAATAATTTTAAATATAACTAGTGAAATTTAAATACTCTATGAGCCTCTATTATTTAAAAACTAATAAAATAATTGATTAGTTGAAAATTTTATAATTAGGAAAAAGTTGAATAAAGAAAACAGTGAGAGGAAAGGGGGATAGTGAAAGAGAATGATTTGAAAGTAATTTTAAGGAAAATAAAATTACTCGGGAAAAAGAAAAAGAAAAATTGAAAAGAAGCAGTAATATTTAGACTAGTTTTTATGGAATAATAATTCCCTTTCATTTAATTTATTTATGATAATAGGTATGATTGTTTGTTATGTTTCCTTTTGTATGTGTCTTGTCCTTTGTTACCGATTCACCTCAAAACATTTAGCATTTAGGGGTAATATAATGGTGAACATATATATATTAAGAAAAAGATGAGATTGGTTTGTGCGTTGTTGGGTGGCATACGATGGGCAGGTTCATCTCCAACGCTAAGACCAAACCCCTAACCCTACTCATCCACCGCCACCGATCTTCCCAACCGATCAAATCCAACTGGGTCGAGATCGACGGTCTCAAGTTCTTTGAGGAGCACGCCCACGGCGTTATGGTCAAGAAGTCCACACCCGATTGGCTCCCCTTCCGCCCCGGTTCCTCCTTCTGGGTCCCACCTCCTTCCTCCTCTTTCCCCAACAAATTCTCCATCTTCCTTCAATCTCAATCCCCTCCTGCTTCCGAGGTCACTCTGCAACTCAAGGTTCTCACTCCCTCTCAAAACGTCACTCTCTCTGAAGATGACGAAGGTTGAACAATATCCTCATGGTATGTAATGCTAATGCATCATATCATTTCATCTTTCTCTTTCCATTCCGCTTATTTCATATCTTTTCATTTTCAGAATTCAGAGCCTTGGGGTTGGGGGGACACAAGCTTTGAACATGCCAATTCCTTCACAGGTCAACTACTGCTTGTTTTCCGATTAACCCTTCTCACGTTTTTCGCTCTCTCTAAGTTATTTGTGTTTATAGTTTGGCTCTTCCACACCAAGCGCTTAAAATAACCCCCTCTAGGTCCAATATTTTCAGCGTTGTCATGTTCGACCTTTTACATTGGGTGATGTATGTATTCTGTATTTATGTGACTAATAAAGAAAAACTTTCTTTGACCATTCTTCTGAACGACCAAGCATTTGCTCGATTCAATGAATATATGGGTTCATGTACATATAACTGTAGTTGGATTTATAAGGAGGAACAAGTTTGGCGCTGTTGCTTCAATTTTAGCATTGTGTAGTTTCTGTTCAGTTTTTATAATTGAAGCATCGATAAAGGCTGCATAGGAGCTAACTGGCATGCCTTTTCAATTGTTAGTGGGATAGTTCTTTTAGCGGAGGAGGGAATTGGGGTGATTTATGTTTAATTGAAGAAATGCGGTAGATTTTTCATAGATCTATTCAAATAATACAGAAAAAGAAGTGCTAGAACTTTGTCTGAGTAGACTCACAGGAAGAATAGGTATAAATTATAAATCTGTCTCGTCTTGTCCAGTTTTAGCATTAGACGACTTGCTGGTGACATTTTTCAAATCCTCTCTAGGTTGATATAGGATTTTGGATTCTCTCATGTTATAATTGAAATGAGATAGATACAGTTTTTTTCTTTGGCATGAGCTCATCATGATGGATCTTAAGATCTGCGAGTTATATAAACTAATAGATCTTTAAACTTATCATCGTGAGTCTTTGCATAATAAAAACTTGCATCTTATCTCTCCTCAACAGGAAGGTCTTGTGACAGAGGACACAAATATATTCAAAAGTTCTGGCTCTGTAACGTATTAATATTTGTATAAGAGGGAGAAGAGAAAAATGTGAGAGCGGTAGAAATAAGAATGTTAAGATGAATACGTGGACATACAAGAAAAGACATGTTAAGATAGTTTGAATATGTGTAAAGGTCACTAAAAGCACTGCAGAGGAAAGTAGATTGCCTAATTTTTAATGCTTTCCAAAGGGGAAGGGAGGGAGAGACTACGAAGGACATCGTAGAAATTGTTTAAAGAGATATCATGACGAATAATATTCTTGAGAATTTGATCTTAACAGTGTCTAATGGTGCTATGCAATTCATGTAGCCGATCTCACCTACTGGAGTAAGACTTCTATTGTTTAGGGTTTAATCATGCTTGCAGGGAGGAAAGAGAGAGAATAAGTTTGGTTTTCTAATTTAGTTTCAGTTTGTTTTTACAGTTTAATCTGCTCTTATTATCTTGGTCACTTGTCATTATTTTAGTTTTGGTATGCGGGGCAGAAAACCTGTTCTTGCGTGACTCTGATTATAAGGTTCTTTAAATGGGTACTGAACTGTGCAGTCATGTTGACTTCAGGCAGCCAGGTTGTTATGATAAGATAAATGAATCACTAAACTTGGATAAGAGTCAATGAGGCGTGTTTTATGCTTGATTACTCGGTTTCAAACTTTGGACCATTGCTCAAATATCTTCAATTTTCAAATGCTCCATTTGATGTGAGGGTGCACCCAAGAATGCCCGATGAAAAGTGAATTCTGGTTAGTTACAATTTACAAATAAAAATGTACGTGTCGCATTCACTTATCAATAATGAAGGAGATTGCTATCAATAAAATCAGTGTCATCTTTTTTTTTTCAAGGGATAGTAAACACAATAAACCCGGCACTGTACTACATGGGTACAGGCATATACGTATGTATATTTCTAGTTATAGTCTTCTACACGATTTTTTTTTGCTTTGACTTCAGTTTTCCAGGTTTTTTCTGGCAAGATAAATGAATGTAATAAGAATTAATACACATGTACTTCTATTATTGGTTATGTGAATGTTAAAAACGGTAAAGATAAATTTCAGTGTTTCACGAAAGTCATAGGACACTCGTAGATCATTTCGTTTTTTTTTTTTTTTTTTTTTTTTT